CCAGCCCGCTCTGCTCAGCCAGGGCAGCCCTGATGATAACAAGATGAGATTTGTTTATTTAATCAATCAGTCCTCAATGGCCTTTCCTTTTAACCCATTCGCACACATGCACATGTTTAAAAAATTAGGAAGTGCAGATACCGGCAGTGGTGCATTTTTCTTCCGGGGTCTTTGTTCTGAAAAATCAAAGTCCTGAGCTGCTGCCCCTGAGGGCGAGAGAGTTAAGTCCAGCAGAGGAGAGCGAAGTGGAGGCCGCTGTGCTGGTGTTCTGTTTCAGGCCCTCTGCGCTCACTAACCTTTGTAAACAAGGCTGCCCTATCCCCACACCAGAGGCCATGATGCCTCTCTTTACTAAAGCAGTTGCCCCTCATTGTCCTCATCAATGAGGCTGATGAATTGATGTTTGACTCTGATATCTCATTAAGCCGACCCAGCTGCACAGCAGAGGCACAGATCTGCTGCCACACTCGTCGCACTCGATGCACGTCGCACACAAAAATAGCCACTGGCTTTGTGAGAAGAGTCACCTGGCTGTGGAAGGAAGTTCACTGTGGTCAAACTGTTGAAAGGAAAAAAAAAGAAAAGAAAGAACCACAGTGTTAAAAAGTAAAAGGTCAAATGGAGGCTTTCAGGTGTCATTTGTGTGGAAACGCAATAACAAAAAAAAAAAGGGTTTGTGCCACAACTGCCTCATATTGAGTAAATTATTGTCCCGGCATTAAATCTGCAGCGGTGATAAGTGTCACTGTTGCTGGCTATTGGCCGAGGACATGGTCAGTTTTCCTGTTTTTTTCACCACAGGAGACCCCAATGTCAGAGGTGAGTCAGGGGCTACAGCCTGACCATCGTCACATCTCCACCATGTGTGCAGGTCTTGTCAACTCGCTGAAAAGGGGGAGCCTTTCAACCAGCTTGGCCTGTGTAATGCTCTTAAGTGCCTTATGCCACAGAGCTGGTGCTACATCTGAGCTGCCTCCACGTAAGGATAATGGACACTGATTTAGTCGTACGTCAATGAGAACTGAATTAGTCAACTAGCAGGAAAGCCATTTGAGAGAGCCTTTGCAGACCAATCCCCCGCTCTGTCAATGCTCATTTGCTTAGAAGAATGAGGCAATTCCGATTAGTTCTCCAGGGTCAGAAGAAGGGGAAGTTTGTGGTTTTTTTTCTCTCTCTCGTCCAAATACACGGGCAGCTCCATCTTTTTGGCCACGGCTCAGATATCAATCGTGATGCCTGAAAGTGGTCCTTAGGACACAGCGACGGGGCAGTTACAGATCACCTCCCCCCCCTCACCGCAATCTATCACTGGACGTGCAATCACACACGCGTCCACACACACACACACACACATGTGTGCGCTCTTTGTTTTCCGCTAATGTGCTGTTCAAATGTGAATTGGGGAGCTAATTGAAATGGGGGTGTATCTGAGCCGCGGTGGCAGAGAAATAAGAGCTTCCTGTGACCGCTGGCACATTCTGGCCCCCATCATTTTCTCCCTGATAGAAGTCGGCAGTTATTTCATTATAATTACCAAAGATTCAATTAAATGATTAGAATGCCTGAGGGGGGGCTGGGCCGAGAATGGATAGTGGCATCTTGTTCGGAGAGGAAGAGACAGGACAGGAAGTGAGTCTTATAATACGGTGGCTGCAGCTCTAATGGGGACTTGTCACTGCTGATATGCATACACCAACCCTGTTGATCCTTTCAAGATAGTGTCAAATGAAATGTGTTGCAGTTAAAAGGCTTAAGTAGTCAATTGGGCCAAGGTCAGTCAGTCAGAAGTGATATGGCTGTAGGGGGAAAGAAAACTGTCATTTGCTTCAGAAAACAATTATAACAATGTGAGTAAGTGAGCTGTTTGAACGCTTAATCTGAACAAGTGACCAGAGAACGAGAGGAATTCACCAAATACTCGGCGGTATTTACAATATTTGAATATAGACTATATATATATGTTTTTTTTTTAATGGACAGTGAAGCCTTGAGAGTTTGTAAAAAATCTTTGCTGGTTTTTGTAACACAGGTTAATTGTGCTCTTTCAGGGTTCAGTATCTCAGCGATTACTTTCAGGTCTTATAGTATGTAATCAATGTCTTAATTAACTTCTGAAGCGCTTGTCACAGGGTCATCCAAAACTGTGATCAGTCACCGAGCTCTCGACAAAGACAAACATCTTTTATCATCGGCTCTCCTTAAAATGGCTTTGTTGTACAGTTGTCACAGCGCGTTGTATTGAAGTAGCGTTAGCCATCGTCTCAGTCCCCACTAAAAATGTTCATTGATGTCGTAAAAGTGTGAGCGTGTCCTAACTTTCACACAGACTGTCATTTTAATGGAAAAATGGTCCGTTAACAGGGTCCACTTCCTAAGTACGGTCCACCATAAACACTTAACAAATGATGTATGTTAACGTAATCAAGGCTTCAGTGCAGTCATATAACGTGAGTGTGATTATAAAGTCGTCCGTCTCGTTGATAAAACACTTCACACAAACGCTTCAAACCGAGCTTGATCAGAACCATTTCAATTTAAATTATCACCGTGTCATTTTCCATTACAACACGTAGCTGGGAGCTCTTTTTCGGTACGAGTTGTGCTTGTGTTGCAGTATCACACAGCCTCGCTAACAGATCTGTCTCAGCCCTGCAGAGCCCATTAATAGTCAGTGCTGCCTATAAATAAACCAATGCCATCCCTGCAGTTGCTTTAATTTTCTTTTTCCTGCAGCACCTGCTGGTGTTTTTGCTCCAGCGCACGGAGAGAGCTCGTCAGCCGGCGCTTTGCGTGTGTCGACTTTGTGTGTGAATTCCCATATGTCAGTGTGTGTGTACAGTGTTATGTCCCTGTTTGGCTGCTGACGGGCACCCAAATCCAGACGCAGACCTTGTGCCAAGCTGGATTCCTCAGGGCCATGTTGGAATCCTGCTCTGCTTTAGTAGCAGTTTATAGCCCCTCGGCAGCGTCAGTGGCACCGCTGTAAATAAAACTCATCAACCATCATGTGGAAGCTGAATCTTTCACCTCCACCTCAGCTGTTTGTCTTCTCAAAGCTAAAGTATGCAGCTAGCCTGACTTATTGTTATTAAAAAAATTAAAAAATCAGCGTTCCTCCCCTGTAGGGGGCACTGTGAACACAGCTGTAAGTACTCTTTCATTAGGTCATGGGTTACGCTTGCAGACACAGTATTAATACTTTATATAACTCTGACCTGATAATCCTTTGCATAAAACATGTAGACATAGGTCGACTGATTTTTTTTCCCCCTGATGGCTTGATTGTAGCCCGTAGCTCCAACTTGTTCAATTTTAATACAGAAATTGTTGTTTTTCTTCACAAAGTCAGTCTTCATTGCAGCAACTAAGCTAATTCCATCTTTCACCTTGATTCGTTTTTTAAATTTTTTTTACCTTCAACATCATAAAAAAACGTTAGGAGAAACTACAGTCAGGCGGTACAATCCCAGCTTATGAACAACAGCTAAATATACTTAAATTTTACACATTAAAATGACAGGGACAATTGTTTTTTTGTGATTCTGACAAGTATATTTTGTAAAAAAAAAAAACGTTTTGGTTCCATTGTATTTTAGCCCTATATAAAAAAGCTTTTATTCCAAACCCTGAGAGAAATCCTGTGCTGCTGAAATCCTGTGGTGATGTTTTGTTAGCGACGGAGCTGATAAGCGTCACCTCAGCCAACTGTTAGCCTCGAGTGTATCAGCTCCACTCGGGTAGAGCGCGTACACTTTCATAAGTGCTTTCACAATAGTCTGTTGGCCACAGAGGTATTGTAGCT